TATGTCTCTCTATGGGGTCTCTATGGGTTCTCTATGTGTCTCTATGGGGTCTCTATAGGGTCTCTATGTGTCTCTATAGGGTCTCTATAGGGTCCCTATGTGTCTCACCGGGCGCGCTCGTCGCGGCGTCGGTCCCGGCTGCGGGAGCGGCTCCCCCCCCCCCGGCGCCGGTCGCGGCTGCGGCTCCGATGGCGGCTCCGGCGCTCGCGGCTCCGGCTCCGGCGGCGCCGATCCCGGTCCCGGCTCCGGCTGCGGGGACACGGCCAATGGGGAGCCCCATTGAGATCCATTGGGTTCCATTGGGTTCCATTGAGACCCATTGGGTTCCATTGGGTTCCATTGGGTTCCATTGAGCTCCATTGAGACCCATTGGGTTCCATTGGGTTCCATTGGGCTCCATTGAGCCCCATTGAGACCCATTGAGACCCATTGGGTTCCATTGGGTTCCATTGGGCTCCATTGAGCCCCATTGAGCCCCATTGAGCCCCATTGGGTTCCATTGGGTTCCATTGGGCTCCATTGAGCCCCATTGAGACCCATTGAGACCCATTGGGTTCCATTGGGTTCCATTGGGCTCCATTGAGACCCATTGGGTTCCATTGAGACCCATTGGGTTCCATTGGGCTCCATTGAGACCCATTGGGTTCCATTGGGTTCCATTGGGCTCCATTGAGCCCCATTGAGACCCATTGAGACCCATTGGGTTCCATTGGGTTCCATTGAGCCCCACTGACACCCATTGACACCCATTGAGTTCCATTGAGCTCCATTGAGCTCCATTGGCTTCCATTGACGCCCATTGACACCCATTGAGTTCCATTGAGCTCCATTGGGTTCCATTGGGTTCCATTGAGCTCCATTGAGCTCCATTGGGTTCCATTGAGCTCCATTGGGTTCCATTGGGTTCCATTGAGCTCCATTGAGCTCCATTGGGTTCCATTGAGCCCCATTGGGTTCCATTGACGCCCATTGACGCCCATTGACTCCCATTGACTCCCATTGACCCCATTGAGCCCATTGACCCCCATTGACTCCCATTGGGTCCCATTGACACCCATTGACCCCCATTGACTCCCACTGAGCCCCATTGACTCCATTGACTCCCATTCACTGCCATTGATGCCCATTGACTCCATTGAGCCCGTTGACCCCATTGACTCCCATTGACCCCCATTGAGTCCCATTGACTCCCACTGACCCCCATTGACTCCCATTGACTCCCACTGACACCCATTGACCCCCATTGACTCCCATTGACTCCATTGACTCCCATTGACACCATTGACTCCCAGTGACACCATTGAGCCCCATTGACCCCCATTGACCCCCACCTGTGTCTGTGCTCGCGGCTCCGGCTCCGGCTCCTGCTCCGCTTCTTCCGGCTGCTGGGAGGGGGGAAAGGGGGTGAGGACCCCAAATACCCCCGTTGACACCATAGGGACCCCATTAACCCCCATTAAACCCCATTGGGGCCACATTAAACACATTTAGACCCCAGTAACCCCCTTTAGGACCCCACTAACCCCCTTTAAATACCATTAACCCCCATTGGGACCCTACTAACCCCCATTACACCCCATTAACCCCCATTAGAGCCCCATTAACATTCATTGGGACCCCATTAAACCCCTTTAGACCCCATTGAACCCCATTGTGACCCCATTAAGCCCCTTTAGACACCATTAACCCCCATTACGACCCCATTAACATCCATTAGGACCCCATTAAGACCCCATTAACCCCCATTACGACCCCATTAACCCCCATTAAGACCCCATTAACCCCCTTTAGACCCCATTAACCCCCTTTAGACCCCATTAACCCCCATTAGGACCCCATTAACCCCCATTGGGACCCCATTAACCCCCATTAGGACCCCATTAACCCCCATTAGGACCCCATTAACCCCCATTAGGACCCCATTAACCCCCTTTAGACCCCATTAACCCCCATTAGGACCCCATTAACCCCCTTTAGACCCCATTAACCCCCATTAGGACCCCATTAACCCCCTTTAGACCCCATTAATTCCCATTAGAGCCCCATTAACCCCCTTTAGACCCCATTAACCCCCATTAGGACCCCATTAACGCCCTTTAGGCCCCATTAACACCTCTTAAGACCCCATTAACACCCATTGGGACCCCATTAACCCCCATTGCTCCCCATTACCCACCTGCTCCCGCTTTCCTTCTTGGCCTCTTTGCTGCCTTCCTCTGGTGCCTGCTGGACACAAAGGAAGTCCATAGGAGTCACGTGACCTCTATGGGCCCCACCATCACGTGACCACCCCCAATCACGTGACCCCCCCCTCACCTGAGCTGCTGGAGCCTCTGCCTGCGCCTTGGAGGGGCCGGGCTGGGCCTGGAAAGGGGGAGGGGGGGGTTAGGGGGGGGTCATGGGCCCCATAGAAGCTATAGGGCTGCATTGGGAACCTATGGGAGCCCATTGAAACCCATACAGAGCCCATTAACACCCATTGGGAGCCCATTGAACCCCATTGGGACCCCATTAAAGTGCATTAGGACCCCATTTGCTCTCTTCAGACACCATTAAACCCCACTGAAAACCCATAAACCACACTAGGACCCAATTAACCCTCTTTAGACCCCAATAAACCTCGTTGGGACCCCATTAACCCCCATTGGGACTACATTAACCTCCTTTAGACACCAATAAACCTCATTGGGACCCCAATAACCCCCTGTAGGCCCCATTAAAACCCCTTTAGATCCCATTAAACCCCGTTGGGACCACATTAACCCCCTTTAGACGCCATTAAACCCCATTGGGACCCCAATAACCCCCATTAGAACCCCATTAATCCCCACTGGGACCCCATTAACCCCCTTTAGACCCCATTAACCACCCATTAAACCCTGTTGGGACCCCATCAACCCCCATTAGGACACCATTAACCTCCTTTAGACCCCATTAATCTCCATTGGGACCGTATTAGCCCGCTTTAGAGCCCATTAAACCTCCTTAGACCCCCATTAAACCTCATTGTGACCCCATTAAAACCTTTTAGACCCCATTAACCCCCTTTAGGCCGCATTAAACCCCATTAACCCTCTTTAGACCCTATTAAACTCTGTTGGGACCCCATTAGGACCCCATTAACCCCCATTAGGAGCCCATTAAACCCATTGGGACCCCATTAGGACCTTATTAACCCTCATTGGGACCCCATTAGACCCCCTTTATACCCGTTTAACCCCATTTAGACCCCATTAACCCTCTTTAGACCCCAATAAAACCCATTGAGGCCCCATTAACACCTATTAGGACTCCATTAACTGCATTGGGACCCCATTAAACTCCTTTAGAGCCCATTAAACCCCATTGGACCCCCCACTAAACCCGTTTAGACCTTACTAACCCCCATTAGGACCCCATTAAACCCACTTAAAACCTCGTTGGGACCCCATTAACCCCTTTAGACCCTGTTAAGCCCCATTGGGACCCCATTAAACCCCATTGGGACCACATTAAACCCTATTGGGACCCCATTAAACCCCATTGGGACACCATTAACCCTCTTTAGCCGCCATTATTCTCCATTGGGACCCCATTAACCTGCTTTAGACCCCATTAAACCCCATTGAAGCCCCATTAACCCACATTATGACTCCATTAAACCCCATTGGGAGCCCGTTGAACCCACTGGGACCCCATTAACCCCCACAGGGACCCCATTAAACGCCATTGGAACCTAATTAACCCCCACTGGGACCACATTAACCCCCATTGGGACCCCATTAACACCCATTAGAACCACATTACCCCCCATTAGGACCCCATTAACCCCCATTTAGCCCCCCCATAGCCCCCCCTTTCACCTCCTCCTTCTTATAGGGTGCCTCCAGCATGGCCTCGATGACGATATCGAAGTCGTCTGACGTCATCGCGTCCGTCTGATAATGGGGGGGGGGGTCTCAGTCCTCCAAGTACCCACAATGCCCCTCGCCCCCCCCCCCATCATCCCCATAGCACTCACCGGGTCCTGCAACGGGTTCGAGCCTGCGGCCTCCATCTTTAAAAGGGGGCGGGGGGAGGGGATAAAGGGGGGGGATCCCCCCTTACGTCGACGCACGCTGCGATGACGACACCGATGACGTCACACAAAGACCTCCTCGTTGGCGAAACCCGCCCGAATCCACCCCAAAAACGCAGCGGCCTAACCCCGAAACCCGAGCGCGCCCCCTAGCGGCGCGGAGGAACGCGCATGCGCACTGCGCTCGTCGCCCCCCCCACCCTTCTCATTGCTTCCCCCCCCACCACCAAAACAATCCGACTTCCCCCCCCCCGCGTTGATGACGCAATCCCGGTGCTCTATGACGTCACAACGCACGGCGCTGACGTACCGGGGCCTCCTTCTTCGGTCGGGCCTTAACGGCGAGAGCGGCGGCGGCGGCGGCGGCCCCGGACGCGGCGCTCAAAGATGGCGGCGGCCTCCAGAACCTTCCCCCCGCCTTCCCCGAGTCCTCGTTGCCGCGCTCTGATTGGGCGCCGCGCGGCCCGCCTCCCGCTTCCCATTGGGTGAAGGGCGGGGACGAAGCGAGCCGACGCGCTGCCATTGGCTCGGGGCGGGGCCGCGCGCTGATTGGCCGTCGCCACGGTAACGCCGAAACCACGCCCCCCTCCTCCTCCCCTCTCCCCCCTCCCTCCCTCCGGGCGCGTTGCCATGGCGACCCGCGGCCTAGCGGAGCCTGCGCTGCGCGTTCGGAAGCGTTTAAAGCGCTAAAGAAGCGTTTAAACGGTGGCCAGCGGGCGTTGGACCTATCGCGATCGCTGTCGCGATACGCACGGGGCCTCCTAGTAGGTGTTTAAGGGGCGGAAAAGAGCGTTTAAACGCTGTTATAAGGCCCCGTCCGAGCAAGATGGCGGCCGCCGTACGGAGCGCTCCAAGATGGCGGCGCCCATGCGGCGATGGCCGTCGAGGCCTCGCGTCGGCCTCGTCTGGGCCTCCAGCCCATAATAAGCAGGCGGAGCGGGCAGGCAAAGGCGTTTTATTGGTCAGAGGCCGATGGTGTAGGAGCGGCCGGTGGGGTTGTGAAGGGCGGAAGGGACGGGAGCCGTCACGGCCCACTCGTACCAGACCTTCTTCGGGGTGGAGCAGCGCCAGAAGGCCACGGTCACCTCCTCGCCTGCCTTTACCGGTAACGGTTGCTGTTGGGGGAGGGGGGGGGGTTAAACAAAGGAAAATGGCGGCGATGAGGAGGCCCCAACCCCATTGGAGTCAATGGGAGAGCGGCCAAAATGGCGGCAGCCGTGTGAGGAGGGGCGGGGGGGAGCCAAAATGGCGGCGGCCGCGTGAAGGAGAGAGGGAAGCCAAGATGGCGGCGCCCATTAGGGGTAGCCAAGATGGCGGCCGCTATGGAGGCGGCCATGTTGGGGCCCGCACCTTGAGGGGGAAGAAGATGGGGAACCATGAGAACATCCCCGGGGAGTGCGTTTCCGGGCGGATACCTGCGGGGGTCATGTGACAAGGGGGGGGGGGGTCATGTGACCGCGAGAGGACACGCCCCCCGTCATCGCCCACCACGTGTTCCTCGCAGCCCTATTGGCTGAGAGGGGGATGAGCCCCTCCCAGAGGGCTGGCTTCCTATTGGATGATCGGAGGTGCCCGTTGATGCCCATTGGACACCATAGAGCCCGTTTGTTCCCAGGGACGCCCATTGATGCCCGTTGGCGCTATAGAGCCCCATTGGCCCCCATAGACCCCATAGACACCCCGTAGCGCCCCATAGAGCCCCATAGACCCCCATAGACCCCCCTTAGCGCCCCATAGACACCCCTTAGTGCCCCATAGAGCCCCATGGAAGCCTCTTAGTGCCCCACAGACACCCCATAGAGCATCACAGACCCCCACTTCGTGCCCCATAGAGACCCACAAAAACCCCATAGAGCCCCATAGACACCCCTTAGCACCCCATAGACACCCCATAGAGCCCCATAGACACCCCATAGAGCCCCATAGACACGCCTTAGCACCCCATAGACACCCCTTAGCACCCCATAGATCCCCATAGACACCCCTTAGCACCCCATAGACACCCCATAGACCCCCCATAGACACCCCATATCCCCCCATATCCCCCCCATATCCCCCCATAGCCCCCTACTGAGGGTGATGTCCCCATAGAGCGTGGTCTCGAAGTAACCGGCGAAGCCGTGGAGCACGGAGTCGACCTGGACCCGGAAGGCCAGGAGGCGGTACCGGCTGTTGTCATTGGCTGCCTCTGCCGCAGGGAGCCACGCCATTGGTCGGCACCTCTGTAGAGCCAGCCAATGGGGATTGAGGGGGGATATGATGGCATCAGGGAGCAGCCAATCACGTACCGGGGTTGGGGTGCTGGAAGGTGAAGCAGGGCTGGGGGGCGGCCAATTGGTGGTAGTTGTGGAGGCGGACGACGTAGGGCATCTCGAACTGGGCCTATGGGGCAGGGACCCATAGCGGGAGCCATAGCAAGACCCATAGAGGGACCCATTGATGGACCCATTGATGGACCCATAGCGGGACCCATAGCGGGACCCATAGCGGGACCCATTGATGGACCCATAGAGGGACCCATAGAGGGACCCATTGGTGGACCCATAGAGGGACCCATTGATGGACCCATAGCGGGACCCATAAGCATCCCCGTTGACCCCCATAACCCCCCATTGACCCCCATAACCCTTCCATAACCCCCCCAATGACCCCCATAATCATCCCCATTGACCCACATATCCAGGCCCATAGCTGCCCCTTACCCAGCCCCATAGCTGCCCCATACCCCCACATTGACCCCCATACCCAGCCCCATAACCCCCCCAACTGACCCCCATACCCACCCCCATAACCCCCCCATTGACCCCCATACCCAGCCCCATTGACCCCCATTGAACCCATAACCACCCCCATTGACCCCCACACCCAGCCCCACACCCAGCCCCATAGCCCAGCCCCATTGACCCCCACACCCAGCCCCATTGACCCCCCCATAGCTCCCCCATTGACCCCCACACCCACCCCCATTGACCCCCATACCCACCCCCATTGACCCCCATGGAGCCCCATGACCACCCCCAAGCCCACCCCATAGCTGCCCCATAACCACCCCCTGGCTGCCCCATGACCATCCCCTGGCTGCCCCATAACCACTCCATAACCACCCCATAACCACTCCACAACGACCCCACAACCACCCCATAACCGCCCCATAACTGCCCCATAACCACCCCATTGACCCCCATTGACCCCCATACCCAGCCCCATTGACCCCCATACCCATACCCATACCCAGCCCCATAGCTGCCCCATAGCCTGCCCCATAGCTGCCCCATAGCCTGCCCCATACCCAGCCCCATAGCCTGCCCCATAGCTGCCCCATAGCTGCCCCATAGCTGCCCCATAGCAGGGGGTACCTCTGGGTCCCGGTCCCTCTCGCGGCAGCCCCGCACCCACCCCCATTGACCCCCATTGACCCCCATTGACCCCCATACCCAGCCCCATAGCTGCCCCATACCCAGCCCCATAGCCAGCCCCATAGCCTGCCCCATAGCCTGCCCCATAGCTGCCCCATAGCCTGCCCCATAGCTGCCCCATAGCGGGGGGGGTACCTCTGGGTCCCGGTCCCTCTCGCGGCAGCCCCGCACCTCGGTGTAGAGCTTGGAGGAGGAGATGGGCGCCAGGAAGGAGCTGTAGGAGCAGGGGATGCTCACCCCCCCCGCTGCCCGCACCGCACCAGTACGAGACCAGGATGAGACCAGTATGAGACCAGTATAACCCAGTACAACACAACACCAGTACAACACCAGTATGAGACCAGTATGACACCAGTACAGCACCGGTATAACACCGGTATGACACCAGTATGACACCGGTATGAGACCGGTATGACACCAGTACAGCACCAGTATAACACAACCCCAGTATAACACCAGTATGACACCGCTATGACACCAGTACAGCACCAGTATAACACCAGTATAACACCAGTATGAGACCAGTATGACACCAGTATAACCCAGTACAACACCAGTATGACACCAGTATGACACCAGTGCGATACCAGTACGACACCAGTGCGACACCAGTATGACACCGGTATAACACAACACCACTATGACACCAGTATGAGACCAGTATAACACCAGTATGAGACTGGTATGAGACCAGTATGACACCGGTATGAGACCGGTATGAAACCGGTATAACACCAGTACAACACCAGTATGACACCAGTATGACACCAGTATGACACCGGTATGACACCAATATGACACCAGTATAACACTGGTATGACACCGGTATGGCACCGGAATGACACCGGTACAACCCCATTATACCCCATTATAACTCCATTATACCCCATTATAACCCCATTATACCCCATTATAACCCATTATAACCCATTATAACCCTATTAGAACCCATTGCAACCCATTATAACCCCATTATACACCATTATACCCCATTACAACCCATTCTAGCTCCATTACACCCCATTATAACCCATTCCCCCCATTGTAACCCCATTACAACCCATTAAACCCCATTATACCCCATTATAACCCATTATACCCCCTTATAACCCCATTACACCCCATTATAACCCATTATACCCCATTATAACCCATTATAAGCCATTATACCCCATTACACCCCATTATAACCCCATTATAACCCATTATACCCCATTATAACCCCATTCCCCCTCATTATAACCCCATTACACCCCATTATACCCCATTATACCCCATTATAACCCCATTATACCCCATTATAACCCCATTATACCCCATTATAACCCCATTATACCCCATTATAACCCCATTATAACCCCATTCCCCATTATAACCCCATTATACCCCATTATAACCCCATTACACCCCATTATAACCCCATTATACCCCATTATAACCCCATTACACCCCATTATAACCCCATTATAACCCCATTACACCCCATTATAACCCCATTACACCCCATTACACCCCATTACACCCCATTACACCCCATTATAACCCCATTACACCCCATTAAACCCCATTACACCCCATTATAACCCCATTCTAACCCCATTGCCCTCACCCTTACATTCTCCCCATCCACACCCCTCACTTCATTATCCCCAACCCCATTATAACCCCATTACACCCCATTATAACCCCATTATAACCCATTATAACCCCATTACACCCCATTATAACCCCATTATACCCCATTATACCCCATTATAACCATTATAACCCCATCCATAACCCCATTATACCCCATCCTACTCCCACATTCCCATAACCCCATTATAACCCCATTACACCCCATTATAACCCCATTTACCCCATTAAACCCCATTATAACCCCATTATAACCATTGTAACCCCATCCACCCACCCCACCCCATTATAACCCCATTACACCCCATTATAACCCCATTATGACGCATTATAACCCCATTATACCCCATTATAACCCCATTAAACCCCATTATACCCCATTATAACCATTGTAGCCCCATCTCCCTCACCCTTGAGGCAGTGCTGGGCCCCATCCAGGCACTCGGGGCTCAGTTCATTGTCCCCAAAGGACCCCAAGAGCTCGGACACCACCAGGTCGGCCCCTTCGGGGGGGCTCCAGCCCCTCATATCCTGCGCCACCACCGTCACCTGCGCCCCCCATTCCTCGTACTGCCAGCTCTGCAGCCTGGGGGGGATATGGGGGGCTATGGGGTGCTATGGGGTGGCTATGGGGTGGCTATGGAGGGCTATGGGGGGGGGAAAAGCAGCGCGCTGCGGCGCGGCCGCTAGGGGGCGGTATAGTGCGGCAGGGGGCGGGGTCAGATGAGGACACGCCCCCTCCTTTTGCCTTGTCTGGTGCGGCGTGGCCAGCAGGGGGCGGTATAGTGCTGGGATATGGGGGGATATGGGGGGATATGGGGGGTCTATGGGGGTCTATGGGGGGTCTATGGGGGGTCTATGGGGGTCTATGGGGGTCTATGGGGGTCTATGGGGGGTCTATATGGGGGTCTATGGGGGGTCTATGGGGGGGTCTATGGGGGGTCTATGGAAGTTAATGGGGGTCTATGGGGGTTTATGGGGCATCTATGGGGGTTTATGGGGGCTCATGGGGGGCTCTATGGGTCTATGGGGGTCTATGGGGGTCTATGGGGGTCTATGGGGGGCTATGGGGGTCTATGGGGGTCTATGGGGGTCTAGGGGGGTCTATGGGGGTCTATGGGGGGTCTATGGGGGTCTATGGGGGTCAATGGGGGTCTATGGGGGTCTATGGGGGTCTATGGGGGTCTATGGGGTGGCTATGGGGGTCTATGGGGTGCCTATGGAGGGCTATGGGGGGGGGTGCAGGCAGCGCGCTGCGGCGCGGCCGCTAGGGGGCGGTATAGTGCTGCAGGGGGCGGGGTCAGCTGAGGACACGCCCCCCTCCTCTATGGGCCAATGGGAGGGGGAAGGGTGCGGCGCGGCCAGTAGGGGGCGGTAGAGTGCTGGGGTAAGGGGGTCTATGGGGGTCTATGGGGGGTCTATGGGGGTCTATGGGGGGTCTATGGGGGGTCTATGGGGTCTATGGGGTCTATGGGGGTCTATGGGGTCTATGGGGGTCTATGGGGGGTCTATGGGGGTCTATGGGGTTATATGGGCTATGGGGGTCTATGGGGGTCTATGGGGGGCTATGGGGGTCTATGGGGGGTCTATGGGGGTCTATGGGGGTCTATGGGGGTCTATGGGGGGTCTATGGGGGTCTATGGGGGTCTATGGGGGTCTATGGGGGTCTATGGGGGTCTATGGGGGTCTATGGGGTGCTATGGGGGTCTATGGGGGTCTATGGGGGCCTATGGGGGAATATGGGGGGCTGAGGCAGCGCGCTACGGCGCGGCCGCTAGGGGGCGCTATAGTGCTCAGGGGGCGGTATAGTGAGGGGCGGGGTCTATGGGGCTATGGGGTCCTATGGGTCTCTATGGGGTCTCTATGGGTCTCTATGGGGTCCCTATGGGTCTCTATGGGGTCCCTATGGGTCTCTATGGGGTCTCTATGGGGTCTCTATGGGTCCCTATGGGGTCTCTATGGGTCTCTTGGGGTCTCTATGGGGCAGGGCTCACGTGACCACGGCGTTGGGGTTCTTCTCCACGGCGTAGATCCTGATTGGCCGCCCCGCTTGGCGGGAAGCTCGGAGGGCGGCGCTCACCAGCGGGCCCCGCCCGGCCCCCAGCACCATCACCACCCTATGGGGCAGAGCCAGGTGTGGGGCGCCCCATAGGGACCCATAGGGACCCATAAGTGGGGTAGGGGGACCCATAGGGACCCATAAGTGGGGTAGGGGGACCCATAGGGACCCATAAGTGGGGTAGGGGGACCCATAGGGGGGGTAGGGGGACCCATAGGGACCCATAAGTGATGCACAGGGACCAGGGCTGGGACCCATAAGTGATGCACAGGGACCCATATGTGACCCATAGGGACCCATAAGTGATGCACAGGGACCCATAAGTGACCCATAGGGACCCATATGTGACCCATAGGGACCCATAAGTGATGCACAGGGACCCATAAGTGACCCATAGGGACCCATAAGTGACCCATAAGGGACCCATAAGTGACCCATAAGTGACCATAAGGGACCCATAAGGGACCCATAAGTGAGGGACCCATAAGGGACCCATAAGTGAGTTAGGTAGACCCATAAGTGGGGTATGGGGACCCATAGGGACCCATAGGGATGTGGGGCACCCCATAGCCCCATAGGGCGCCCCATAGCACTCACTGCACATTGGTGTCCTTCTCCTCCTCAGGCACCCGGTCCAGCAGGCACCTATATATCGCCTTATAAGGAAGAAATGGGGGCGTGGTTATGTTAATGAGGCACGGAGGAGCAGCCAATGGGAGGCCTCGGCCCCTGCCCAAGCCCCGCCCACCTGCTGGTATTGGGAGTATTTGATTGGATCCTTCTCGAACACCTCATAGGTCTGCGACTCCAGGTTGTCCATAAGGGGCTATGGGGGGGGGGGCGTGGCTTGTGAGTGCCTTATATGGGCAGGCCACGCCCCCTCCCTGTTCAAGCCATATATGGGAAAGCCACGCCCCCTTCTCTCCCCATTCACCCCTATAGGCTCCATTGCAACCCCCATAGACCCCATTGCAACCCCCATAGGTATCATTGCCAGACCCATAGAACCCCATATCCAGCCCCATAGACCCCATAGCACCCCACTGGCAGCCCCATAGACCCCATTCCAACCCCATAGGTTTCACTGCCAGCCCCATAGTGCTCCCCATAGACCCTATTCCAACCCCATTCCAACCCCATAGGTTTCACTGCCAGCCCCATAGCGTGCCCCATAGCACCACATATAACCCCAATGGCAGCACCATAGACCCCATTCCAACCCCCATAGATTTCACTCCCAGCCCCATAGCGCGCCATAGCACGTACCATAGCATCCCATAGCCAGCCCCACAGTGTTCCCCATAGCACCCCATATCCAGCCCCATAGCGCCCCATATCCAGCCCCATAGCACCCCATATCCAGCCCCATATCCAGCCCCATAGCGTGTGCCCCACACCTGCAGGGGGCTCTGCAGGTAGTCCAGCCCCACATCCAGCCCCATAGCACCCCATATCCAGCCCCATATCCAGCCCCATAGCGCCCCATAGCGCCCCACACCTGCAGGGGGCTCTGCAGGTACTCCAGCCCCATAGCGTGTGCCCCATAGCGCCCCACACCTGCAGGGGGCTCTGCAGGTAATCCAGCCCCATAGCACACCCCATAGCGTGTGCCCCATATCCAGCCCCATAGCGTGTGCCCCACACCTGCAGGGGGCTCTGCAGGTAGTCCAGCCCCATAGCACCCCACATCCAGCCCCATAGCCAGCCCCATATCCAGCCCCATAGCGCCCCATAGCGCGCCCCATACGCAGGCCCCATATCCAGCCCCATAGCACCCCACATCCAGCCCCATATCCAGCCCCATAGCACCCCATAGCCAGCCCCACATCGCGCCCCACATCCAGCCCCATAGCACCCCATAGCGTGTGCCCCATAGCGTGCCCCATACGCAGCCCTCATATCCAGCCCCATAGCACCCCATACCCAGCCCCATAGCCAGCCCCACACCTGCAAGGCTCCATAGTCCAGCCCCAGCACCCCATAGCGCCCCATAGCGCCCCATAGCACCCCATAGCCACACCTCATAGAGCCCCATACTCCAGCCCCATAGCACCCCATAGCGCCCCATAGCGCCCCATAGCGCCCATAGCGCCCCACACCTGCAAGAGCCCCATAGCGCCCCATAACCCAGCCCCATAGCACCCCATAGCGCCCCATAGCGCCCCATAGCGCCCCATAGCGCCCCACACCTGCAGGGGGCTCTGCAGGTAGTCCAGCCCCATAGCACCCCATAGCGTTCCCCATAGTGTGTGCCCCATAGCGTGTGCCCCATAGCGCCCCACACCTGCAGGGGGCTCTGCAGGTAGTCCAGCCCCATAGCGCCCCATAGCCAGCCCCATAGCGCCCCACACCTGCAGGGGGCTCTGCAGGTACTCCAGCCCCATATCCAGCCCCATAGCACCCCATAGCGCCCCATAGCGTGTGCCCCACACCTGCAGGGGGCTCTGCAGGTAGTCCTCGTAGCCGCGGGCGAAGAGGTCGTAGGCGGAGGGGGGGGGCCGGTGCTGGCCCAGGTGCTCCAGGTACTGCAGGTACGAGCCCAGGGGCTTCCCCCCATGGCGGGGGGCCCCGCTCAGCACCACCTGCACCTCCAGCTGCCACACAGGGACCCATAGAGACCCATAGACCCCATAGAGACACATAGGGACCCATAGAGACCCCATAGACCCCATAGAGACCCCATAGAGACCCATAGAGACCCATAGAGACCCATAGAGACCCCATAGGGACCCATAGAGACCCCATAGGGAGCCATAGGGTAGAGGGAGCGTGGCCTCAGTTGAGCCTGGCACTATGGCGCCCCCTGGTGGATGAGCAGCAAGGCGCTGCCTGGGCCCCTCTATGCCACCCCATAGGGACACATAGGGACACATAGAGACCCCATAGAGACCCCATAGGGACCCCATAGGGACCCATAGAGACCCCATAGAGACCCCACAGAGCCCCATAGAGACCCATAGAGCCCAATAGAGCCCCCATAGAGACCCAATATCACCCCACAGACACGCAATAGATCCCCACAGAGACCCCACAGACCCCCATAGACCCCCATAGCCCCCCATAGACCCCCATAGACCCCCATAGCCCCCCATAGACCCCCATAGACCCCCATATCCCCCCCATAGACCCCCATAGACCCCCCATATCCCCCCCATAGACCCCCATAGACCCCCCATACCCCCCCATATCCCCCCCATACCCCCCCATATCCCCCCCATACCCCCCCATACCCCCCCCATACCCCCCCATACCCCCCCATATCCCCCCCATATCCCCCCATACCCCCATACCCCCCCCATATCCCCCCATATCCCCCCATATCCCCCCATATCCCCCCATACCCCCCCATACCCCCCCATACCCCCCATATCCCCCCATACCCCCCATATCCCCCCATATCCCCCCATACCCCCCCATACCCCCCCATACCCCCCATATCCCCCCATACCCCCCATATCCCCCCCATATCCCCCCCATACCCCCCATATCCCCCCCATACCCCATATCCCCCCATATCCCCCCCATATCCCCCCATATCCCCCCATAACCCCCCCATATCCCCCCCATATCCCCCCATACCCCCCCATATCCCCCCCATACCCCCCCATCCCCCCATATCCCCCCATATCCCCCCATACCCCCCATCCCCCCCATATCCCCCCATAACCCCCCATACCCCCCCATATCCCCCCATACCCCCCCATACCCCCCCATATCCCCCATATCCCCCCCCTATACCTTAAGCAAGCGGCCCAGTAAGCGCTGGTGGGCTCTGGAGAGCACTGGGAACCCTTTCTTATTGGTGAGGAAGAGACTGGTGGGGAGCAAGGCCGCCTTAATGGGCTCCCCCAGCCAGCGGTCAATGGCGGCACTGGAGGGCAGGTCCGGCCCCACTTCTAGGGCTGGCAATGGGGGGGAATGGGGTCAATGGGGGGGCTATGGGGGGCTATGGGGTCAATGGGGGGGGCTAGGTTATGAATGGGATCCAATGGGATCAATGGAGGGGGCTATGTTATGAATGGGGGGTTATGGCGCCCCCTTGTGGTGGGAAGCCACTCTTGGCCACGCCCCCTTCGGCCTTGGCCACGCCCCCTTTTGGAGCTATGTAATCAATGGGGGGTATGGGGTCAATGGGGGGGTATGGGGTCAATGGGGGGCTATGGGGTCAATGGGGGGGTATGGGGTCAATGGGGCTATGGGGTCAATGGGGGGCTATGGGGTCAATGGGGGGCTATGGGGTCAATGGGGGCTATGGGGTCAATGGGGGGCTATGGGGAATGGGGTGCTATGAGGTAGGGGGCTATGGGGTCAATAGGGGGGCTATGGGGTGTATGGGTGCTATGGGGTCAACGGGGTGATGGGGTCAATGGGGGGCTATGGGGTCAATGGGGGAGGCTATGGGGTCAATGGGGGCTATGGGGTCAATGGGGGGCTATGGGGTCAATGGGGGGCTATGGGGTCAATGGGGGGGATGGGGTCAATGGGGGGCTATGGGGTCAATGGGGGCTATGGGGTCAATGGGGGGCTATGGGGTCAATGGGGGGCTATGGGGGCTATGGGGGGGGGGGCTAGGTTATGAATGGGATCAATGGGATCAATGGAGGGAGCTATGATAATGGGGGGTACCATTTGGGTGCTATGGGGTCAATGGGGTGGTGTGGGGTCAATGGGGGGCTATGGGGTCAATGGGGGGCTATGGGGTCAATGGGGGGGTATGGGGTCAATGGGGGGCTATGGGGTCAATGGGGGGCTATGGGGTCAATGGGGGGGTATGGGGTCAATGGGGGCTATGGGGGGCTATGGGGTCAATGGGGGGCAATGGGGTCAATGGGGGGCTATGGGGTCAATGGGGGGCTATGGGGTCAATGGGGAATGGGGTCTATGGGGGTGCTATGGGGTCAATGGGGGATATGGGGTGAATGGGGGGGGGGTATGGGGTCAATGGGTGCTATGGGGTCAATGGGTGCTATGGGGTCAATGGGGGGGCTATGGGGTACAATGGGGTGCTATGGGGTCAATGGGGGGCTATGGGGTCAATGGGGTGCTATGGGGTCAATGGGGGCTATGGGGTCAATTGGGGGGCTATGGGGTCCATGGGGGCTATGGGTCAATGGGGGGTATGGGGTCAATGGGGTGCTATGGGGTCAATGGGGCTATGGGGTCAATGGGGGGGGTATAGGTGATGGGGGCTATGAGCACTATGCAGGCAAGGGGGTCAATGACTACCAACGGGCTGTTATGGGGTCAATGCAGTGCTATGGGGGGCTATGGGGTACAATGGGGTGCTATGGGGTGATTGGGGGGCTATGGGTGTCAATGGGGTGCTATGGGGTCAATGGGGTGCTATGGGGTGCTATGGGTGTTAATGGGGCTATGGGGGGCTATGGTCAATGGGGGCTATGGGGTCAATGGGGGCTATTGGGGTCTATGGGGGGCTATGGGGTAAATGGGGGGCTATGAGGCAAGGTGGGGTCAATGGACGACAATGGGGGGCTATGGGGTCAATAGGGCTATGGGGGATATGGGGTAGAGGGTATGGGGGGCTATGGGCGCTATGGGGGGCTATGGGTTCTATGGGGGGCTATGGGGTCTATGGGGGGCTATGGGGTCAATGGAGGGAGCTATGTTATGAATGGGATGCTATGGGATCAATGGGATCAATGGAGGAGCTATGTTATGAATGGGGGGCTATGGGGTCAATGGGGGGCTATGGGGTCAATGGGGGGCTATGGGGTCAATGG